CCCCCCTTCCCCTGGACTCTCTCCAGTTGCTTCATATCTTTCTAGAAGTGTGATAATGTGATGGCCAAAACTGGACATAAGATTCTAAGGCCGTGTCAGTGCCGACTAGAAGGGGAAGAATTGTTTCACCTGTCCTGCCAAAGATAGTCTTGTTTTCTACATCAGCCTGTGAAACTTGTCATTTAAATGTATTGTTGATGCACATTTGTTTTCTGACGCATCATTGCTCCAGACTACTTTCTGCAGAACTTCTGGCAAGCAAATAATTTTTCCATCTTGTATAGATGGGGATTCCTATGGAAGGGTACATTACATTTGTCTTTATTAAAACGAATAGGAAGAAATCCACTCTGTGGGTTCCCCCCCAATTTTGTCAGGACCGTTTTGATTTATCTTTTGATAGTATAATAGGGTTGCAACTCTCCCCATAGTAACGTGATCTTTAATAACAAAGCCATATATTGCATCATGTAGATAATTAATAACGCTGTTGAATATTGTTGGACTCTAGACAAACTCTTGAAGATATCACTTGACACATTGTTCCAGTTTGGCAGTGATCAATTTTTAGTATGTTTTTTCAGTGAGTTGTATGCACCATTGTAAGCTAGTTCTGAATATACATTTTTTCTAAATTGTTTATGGAAGTAGTATATGAGATGCTGTCAGAAGCCTTGCTGAAGTCCAGATGCTACATGCATTGCTGCTCCTGTATTCCTTAGACTTGTTATGTTGTCGTAGAAGGGAAACATGTTGTTCTGACATAGCGGTAGGTTATTCCTTGAAATGTGTATTAGCAGTTAGTAATCACCTAGTTACTGCCATTCTGTGTTGTAAACTCTGCTGGTTGAATACTTGGTGTGTTGCCTTAGTGTGAGCTATGCTAGTAACACTGCACCAATCCTGAAGAATTCTGCAGATTTTGGGCTTGCTTTAATTTCCCCATTAAGTTTTGTTGTTACTGTTTTTGTTGCACACTGCGTTTGCAGCATGTCCTGCTCTTCTACAGTGACCTGAGCCTCTAATGAGTCTGGGGCAGAGGATCAAAGGTTAAGACTCTGTGAGGTGGGCTGCTTTTCTCTCCTGCCTGTACACAGGATATAAAGCAAACCTATTGTTCAATTTGTGGTTCTTATCCATTTGCTGCAAGACAGTTGAGTCTGCTGTGGAGATTCTGGACTGCAACACACTGACCATAACACTGCTACTCCGATAAAATAAAGGTTACTCTAGGTACAAAATAATGGTGATGTTTTCATTTGCTGTTGCTCTTTGTGAAATGACCACTTTCTGAGTTATCCTAACATGCCTTCATCAAATCACAGCCCTAATTATAGGCTATTGCTCTGTAATTGGGTGTTTTGCTTGTCTTCAGATGCACATTATGGCCAAGGTAATCACAGTGGAGTAATCCTTCTAAGAGCTTAGTGTTGCAGTAAGGTTTTTTATCTGGACAGAAGAAAGTTGACTTGAGGCAATTTTCTGATTTCCGACTCATGGTATGTACCATGTTCTCATTGTGAACCATCCATTTGAATGTGCCATTATAGCTGGTCACCTCAGACTTTAGTTCAGTAGAGGAAGGACTTCTTTCCCTCACTTTCAACTTGTTTTTTTTCCTCCTGGCAACTTTCTAGAGTATTTTGCGTTCTGGTCCAGAGAAACTATTTGCCAGCCATGCTCACCAAATACAGCAGAATTGGATGGAGGTCAATCAGTGATCTGTTCACTCCATCCAGTTTTAGAGGCAAAAAAGATGCACTCATTACTGAGGATATGGGAATGTTAAAGAGAGGCAGAAGGCAACATCGTTAAAACCCCACTGTCCATAAGCAGATAAAATGTCTGTGGAAGTTGGCAAGAGTCACGGCTCTATGGGGAATTCCACTTCTTGAACAACTTACTGTTCCAGTGATTCACTTATCTGTAAATCTTGTGGGCGTTTGACATGGATGTATTTGGGAACATGTAGGAGAGAATGATTTGGTTCTCTTCTCCCTTGGTCCCTGCTTTGCAGGAAAGAAGCAGGTTTCTATAAGCACGCTCATAGCCCTGACCCTTCATTTCCAGGCGCTTTCTTGATTGTGCTGCTGAAGCTTGTGCAATGGCTAAGATAAAATAAACTTCACCATTGCCTTCTGTTTGTTGTACGCTAAACTTACAATGTGTTGAATATCAACTCTTGCTTACTGGAACAACTCTTTCGGTCTTCTGCTTAGTTGTAAACTTAATTTCAGTCAGTCTGTGTATTTGTTTTTTTACGTCCTGTAATTAATTCACTACATCAGGATTCTCATGTGGAGAATTCAGTTTTTTCCCATGCTTCCTGCTACCCATCAAATATTAGAGCAGTGACAGAGCTGGGAACCCCAGTATCTTCCTGAAGGCTTGTTCAGTGCAGACATGAAGTTCAGCACAGTGCTGAACATGACCTTTCCTGTCCTGCTACTCCCAAAGCAATAATGATGCAAAATTTGATAAAAATCCTCATTCATAGTTTTGAAAACTCTTCTCTAGCATTCTCCTACAAATAGGATTGTGGCTTGTTCAGTGCACCATGAAGTCCACTCTGTGCATGGATTTTGTCCACTGTGTTGTTAGGTGTTGCCCTTCTCCTCCTTCTAAATTTTTTTTGTTACGCCAGTCTAAATATGTGCCTCCTCTTTGGATCTGTCACCAGATGATCTGTACTCTTTCTTAGATATTTTTAACCCAACTGTACAAAAGTAGTTCTTGAATATCTTTTGTTCATAGTTCAAACTGAGCACTTGTGGTCGGTTATTGTGTTCCAGCTCATGGCAGCCTTTGCTGTGAAGAGCTGCGTGCACTTAGGTCTAGAATAATAAAAATACCTATTTTAAGAGAGGCTGGTAGTAGCCCAAGA